AATCAAATTAGCAAACAGGAAATCATGAGGTAACATCACCCTACTGTTCATAACACAACACAACAATCAAATTAGCAAACAGGAAATCGTGAGGTAACATCACCGTAGAGCTCATAAAGCTGACAACACAACAAAGTGATACACCAGCCTCTATCCCTTCATATAATTATTTTGAGTACAATCCTTAACAGGGACGTTACTCTTCTCCCCCTTCGACCTCAGCCAGATGCCTTTACTTTTGTTTTCCTAAAATGAGTTAGTGCCCATAGAAACACGGTGGACTTTCTATGAATTTGAATCCAGGATCTGAGCTCAAGACTTTTGGGTTAGCAGCCAAACACTCTACCGTTCAACCATGCTGTCCCTTGTATGTGTGTGTGTATATATATATATATATATATATATATATATATATATATATATATATATATATATATATATATATATATATATATATATATATATATATATATATATATATATATATATATATATATATGATGTACTAAGCTTAACCCTATCCCTACAAGGCGGGTCAAATTGACCCGACAATGCTACATTTTAGTTAATTACTGGTCAACCACTGGACCAATTGTTTTGAGCTTCTAGATATGCTTCCTACACATACATTGCTTTATTTCAACATAAAAATGAATGTTTGATTTTGCACGTGTGCATGAGGGTGAGCAGGTTTAGGTTCACTATTCCTCTCCCTACTAACATGGGTCAAATTGACCCATATACATTTATATAGAGAAAAATTCTACTAGTGTAGGGGAAAGTGGTATAAATCTATAGAAGTTTCAAACAACTTCCCTTGGGGGTAGACCTTTTGGGCTCATAAGTTTGTATCCCTTCCTGCCTTACCAAAGACACCAATTAGAAACATTTATTTCAGCGCCGAAGCACAACAATAATTTGTTCAATGATGTTGATAGCATGTTTTTAGACTCAACCTTCTTGTTACAAATGAAACTGTTGTGGATTGTTAGGTTTGGGCCTACACATAGAGAAGTTGTATTGTAAGGAGATACAAAGACATACCAACTGATGACTGCATGGGTTCATTGGATACAGTATCAATTTGAAAGCGATAAATCAGACCTGAACTTATTTTTGTTGCTGAATTTGGAAATTAGGGCCATACTGTCAATAAAGTATTTAGAATGTTGTGTAATAGGCTTTGATATAATAAAGATACAGCAGGAAGCAAATATTGATTTGTATCTATGCAGTCTTTTGCGACAAAAGCCATCTGATGAGTTAAGTTTTATGGTCCGTGGGTGTTAGACCATGTCACCTCAGACAGTCCAACCATAGTTGGGTAAAATAGGACCAACTCCTTGACTACAGCTTTGAAGCACATGGAACCATATTTTGATAAATCAATGGATATTGAAATAGAGATGACTTATGTATCAATCTCTGATAACTTTGAACTTTACATTGAACTAAGTTTTTGGCTACTAAACTGTGTCAAGCAAGCATATTGATGCCAAAATGATGACATCAAAATGGAAAGACTGCATGAAATCATCCATGTATGGCTCTAGCAATATGCCCCAATGGGCAAACTAAGTGGTAGCTAATGACCATATTTTTCAATTTGCAACTAATGTCCCCAATAAGGTGAAATATAAAGCGACAGCTATTACAAATAGACAGCAGCAGATTTACAAAATGTGTATATTGTCAAAAGAGTTTGTTCTGCCCCAAGTTGTGAGCATTGAGCACAGAGTACTATGTCCAAGCTACTGCAATTCACATTAGATCAAATAGTAGACAAAAAGAAGCCTTCTGAACCACTCACTGAGTGTTGGGCCCAATAGCGTCATCCAAACAAAAGTCATGCGAGATACGATAACATGTTAGATGGTAAAATAACTATTTGTCAAATATATAGATTCTATCTCTAGTCTATATAGCTTTACTGTGCAAACTGATAATAATTGTGATTAAGTTTTCTTGCATATGAAAAATAAATCGATAGTAAAGGTACAAGTTTTTATATTTAGTAACGTCTAGTTTTATTTATGCCTAAAAAGTATAATAATATAATACCTAAAACTAAAATTTAGTGTAGAAATGTATACACTATAATTTTAGTGTCCATTTATCATTAAAATAATAGTTATGCTATAAAAAATTTACATATGTAATAATAGTTTCTTATATAAAAAGTATACGGGTCAAAATGACCCGCCTTGTAGTCGAATACAGTGAAATAGGGTTGTAGGGATAGGGTTAATAAACTATTAAATTAACTAGAAATAGCAGTCTTTCTCAGCTATTACATTTTTTTTTGTTTGGGTGTCAACCTCTTAAATTGTGACAATCCGACCCCTTAGAAAACTACTATACCTCAATAATGTAATGTTCTTAATAACATGGTGTTAGGCTACTAGAAGTAAATATCAAACTCAGTAACTTGTTAATGTTACACTAACCATATCCCTAACTTAAGTCTTACCATAGACCTAGCATTAAACTTGATATCACAATGCACCAACTAACACACCTATTTTTGGAATTTGGAAGTGACAACTCTCAGACACATAAGAGAAATACTTTGAAATTCCAGCCAGAGATAAAGAACACCTGACGTTTTGAAGACATTTTTTTAGTTTGACACCACAGTTAAAGGTAGTCAACTGTAAATACACAGTCAAGGTATAAAAATACTCATAAATTACTCATAAATAAACTACATAAAACTGGGGGGGATGATGTTAACATATGTGTCAAACAAGATTTAAAAATCTGAATCATTTTCAACTATCTGAGGCCTGATGATGCAGCATCTTATTCTTACACACCAACCAACAAATACCTGATATTCACAGCCTTTGAATAAAGTGTATCCCATAAAAAAGAAGGATTTATATCAAATTTAGTGTTAATTTTACTATACATTGTATACAATATATATATCTACAATGATATTAAATAATTTTACTTGTAACAATATAATACAACACAAAAGCTTGTCTAATCTAAACTTGGATGCGGGTGATATTTTTATGTGTGCTTTCTTGACGCAGAGGTATGTGTACTACATGAGATAAGCCAAAGTCAATTTGAACAATAAAGAATATTATAACATTAGACATGGGGAGGATGGGAGTTGGTGCAGTTTGGGGTAGGGGTGATGACCTATGTTTTCACCAAATGTGCTGAGGATGTGGATTGATGATACCAAGTGAGGTTTCAGCTGTGTAAAAAAAACAACTAACAAACACTAATGAACAACACAATCACAAACTTAGTTATCTTTACTTATTACTCTAGCATCTGTAAATTCAGGCATCTCTGTCATTTACCTTTCTCTCCCCTCCTCACTTAACTTTATACCCATCTTGAACACCAACACAGTCATTCTTTTGTACACTCACTGAGCTTTAGAAATATTGTCCTATGTCACCCATTTATATATACATTATGCAATTACATCCTTGCAAGTGCATCATTTACATTAGAGCATCAATTTGCTAAATGATAATATTTATTACAGAATTATATATATTAAACATTGGATGGGATTAATAGTTAAATGATCCTTACTTCAGTCACAGAAGAACTCAATTTGTGGTGGACATGTGATTATCCCCCCCCCCCTCCGCCCCCCACCACCACCCAAACAGGCCACTACAGACTATTCTAAAAAAAATTGTTTTACAGTATTTCTATAAACTACAACACATAAATCGAATTATTTTTCAAAAAGGTTTAGTTGTACATAGCAATGTCAGTCTATAGTTTTCTGGGGGGGAGGGGGGGGGGGGGTTTATTCAAATGAAAACATTAAATAGACCCCAAAATATCAACATTTTTCAATTTTGTCTAGGTATTTTTGTGACAAAGCTTTCTACTACGTATCTTAAATTAATAACGTGTATGAATAAAGTATGGGTTTGAATAGTCGGCCATGGATTTAAGGACCAAGTCATTTGACATTTAAGTTATGAAGACGAAAAGAAAAACCAGAACTGACTTCAGATTCAAACCCAGAACTTAACACATCAATTAGTCAATATTTCTTATTTTGTTTTCTCAGTATGTAATTTAGATATCCTGCAGAATTTGTATTCATTGTGGGGTTTGTTTTATACCAGTGTCCGACAATGCCGGAATATTCTTTAATAAGAGGTGTTAGGCTAGAGGTAACATGCTAAATACAAACAGACTTGCGTATGTAAACGCTAACTCTGTCCCTAACAACCAAAACCCTACTTCATGTCCTGCCATAGCCCTTAGCATAAACCTGAAGTTATACAATACTAAACAAATTAACACACCTATTTTTTAAAAGATTCCATTGTCAAATACTGGTTGTATTGATAATCTATTAGTCTTGGTAATCTATCATTTTAGGTACGTAAAATCTGCCAAGACTAGTAATGTGAAAAAGAGGTGACTCACTAAATTTTAGTAATTATTTTACATTTTTAGGAGGCTTTATGTTTTGAAAGTTACAAAAATGTTTCAAATTTCTTACATGTGCCTGTTTTTTAAAATTGTATTAAAACTTTTCAGTTATAAAAAAGACAATTCTAGTGATGCAACTAAGCTCGTTTACTTGAGCAGCCATCTTGTTTAAGTTTTTTTTGGGAAAATTATCGTTAGAGATTTAGGGGAAATCACACTAATTTACAGATGTTTATATAGCAAATCTTGCTCGTAAACACTGCTGTTTAAAGTTAATTTCTGGCCTATATTAATATATTTTAAATATATTTAGCCATTGCTTTTGTTTTATTACCTAATCAGTTTTCTTTCTATTGTATTTGACACAAATATATATCACAATATACTTCTATTAAAGCCTAACAATGAGGCAACTTTTTTTCACATTACTAGCTGCGGTCGATTTTATGCACCTAAAACGATAGATTACCCTAGTGACATAGTCTTACTGTCGTTAATTAGTTAACAAACTAATAATTTATAGGCACTCATCATTAGGCCTACATTTTTATTATTTTTAGTTTTTAATCACCTACCTCGTCCTCTCTACCTGTTTGTGCCACTGTCACCTTAGCCTCAGCGGCTTAAGCGCCTTTCCACTAACTTGACACAGGCTGAGTTAAGATTAAATTTAAAATAAAGAGATAAAATTCAGAATATTAGGCCTAGATTCTAGATCTATATTTATTATTTAATATTAGTCTAGATAGATATGCCTAGCCCTGCCTCAGAGTCTCTAGTTTACTTATTTACTAAGAGTGTGTTATTAAAATTATTATAATTATATAAATATTATAAACTATAGATCTACATACTTAGACTACTCAGCACTACTGGTGGAGTAGTTTTAGTTTTATTTAATATTTTATTTAGGCCCCTAGCCCTCTAACTAACTCTTTAAAAAAAAATTTCAACAGCTGGCTAGGCAACTACGTCTACTGACACTACTGTCGTCTACAGTCTACTGACTACTACTCTAGTTAAACAAGTAATTAAAAAAAGTCTAGTGACAATTTTAGCGCAATTTCCTTACGTTATCTAAAAATAGCTCTGTCGTAGCGTAAATCAACAGCAGGGTTAGTAAAACCATTGGTTAGTTATTAAAACGTTTTTTATTAAATTTTTTTCAGTATTTTACATGTTTTATTTACAATAGAGTAACATGACTAAAAACCATTGCGCGCCTAGCTACCGAGCGTGATGTCGCAGATATTGAACGTGATGGCACAGCTATAAAACGTGATGACGCGTGTGGTGTGGTTGCATAAAATGCCTACTAATTCGGTCCAAATTTTAATTAATTCAAAAAAAATTTTGTGACCAAACGAAAGGATATTTTTGAAAACTTTCTTCTGCAATATTGTTCTAAATTATAGCAGGAATCGATTGGTGCATGTTTCAAGTCGCTAAGTGGTCTGGTTGCCGAGACATGGGCCAAAAACTGCATTTTTCCGAGGTTTTTTGGCTTTTCCGGGAAATCCATGAAAGAAACCCGGAATTTTTATGGCCTATGTTCATCCTCGTAACTTGCTTAACATAATTGTTTTTGTAACTAGTCATCGATATTGCTTCGTTGAGGAGGAGATACAACTTAAAGCTGCGGACACACATCCATACATTCATCCATCCATTCCCAGAAATGACGAGTTAATAAACGCAACTACTAGATTTCTAGATCTAGATCTAGATCTAGTAACTTTTTAGCGCAATTTCCATTCTGGAGAATTGCGTTTATTAACTCGTCATTTCTGGGAATGGATGGATGAATGTATGGATGTGTGTCCGCAGCTTTAAGTTGTATCTCCTCCTCAACGAAGCAATATCCGATGACTGGTAAAACTCCATTTCAGCGTATTTTATTCTCCGTTGCTTGTTTACCTCCAGTTGAGCGTATTTTATTATAACAACCGAAACACACCAAAACATTAGGAAAACACGATTTATTAATTGTATTGTATAATTTTTGTTTTAGCAAATGAATAAATATGAATATTTAAAAAACACGACTTGTTTATTTGTATTGTATTTTTTTTAAAGGCATTTGTCTCATGGTGAAACTGATACACTGTTAATTATTCTGTATTATATTTTTGTATTTATGCAATAAATGTACAAACTCTGTGTTTTTTTGTTTGACAATTTCGCCAAAACTGAAAAAAATATTTTTACTATAGAGTTGTATGTTATTTAAATTCATAGTAAATCTACCATCCTTCCAAATATTTTGATATATGTATCAAGTATGATTTTTTGTGTGAGTAAATTTCTGGCTTTTAAAAAAAAAATTGACGTGGGGTCGTCCATAAATGACGTCACACTCGTAAGGGAGAGGGGGTCCGCAATTTTGTGACGGTGTGTGATGAGGGGGAGGGGGTGGGGTTTCAGATGGTGTGACGTCACTTTTTTTGCATTATAAAAAAAGCAATGTTAGAAAAACGAGTTTTAGCCGTTATTTCGCGTTTTAGAAAACGGTTTTAATAAATTGTAATAGGAATTGATCAAAATACTCTATGTTGACAGAGTTCTGACAAGATTTTGGAAAAAGTATCGATGTTTTTAGAAAAATTCAACAGAAATTTTGAGGGGGGGGGGGGTGGGTGTAGGCTGTGGTGTGACGTCATTTTAGGGGGGTCTGACTTTTTGTGACGACGTGTAACGGAGGGGAGGGGAAGGAAAAAATCGTAAAAAAAGCGTGTCGTCACAAAAAGCAAGACCCCCCCCCCCAAATGACGTAGCACCATCTGAACCCCCGTCCCCTCAACACACACCGTCACAAAATTACGCCCCCCCCCCCTCCCCAGAGGCGTAGCGACCCTTCCCGGGGACAAACTTTCAACTTTCGATTTGCACCCCCCCCCCCCCTCAAACTTTCGATTTGCACCTCTTAAAAGACTATTTAACACTCGTATTAATCACTTAATTAAGTGGAGTTATCATTTTTCTCTATATATTTTGCTATTTTTTGCCTTGGTGTCACCCCCCCCCCCCTAAATGGTGTCAACCGCGCTACGCCTCTGCCCCTCCCCCTACTAGTGTGACGTCATTTATGGACGACCTCTAACATTATTTTTTTTAAATGACGTGAGTTGTCACACTTTCTCTAACACTCCAAGCCATCCCTCACCAAATTCCACCCCCCCGGCCCACTTTTAGCAGCATTATTGTGCCTTTTAATACTTTTATTCAGTTTAGTTGAAATTGGAACACTTAATTGTACAAAGTGTGCATCTCTATTTTTGTAACCAACGAACAAAGCACTTCAGTCAGTCTCTTTGTTGTTTTTTTATTCATTTGTTAAAACAAAAATACAATACAAATAAACAAGTCGTGTTTTTTAAACATTCATTTTATTCATTTGTGAAAACAAAAATACAATACAAATAATAAATCGTGTTTTCCTAATGTTTTGGTGTGTTTCGGTTGTTATAATAAAATACGCTCAACTGGAGGTAAACAAGCAATGGAGAATAAAATACGCTAAAATGGAGGTTTACCGGCCTACTAGTCTAGTACTGACTAGTGACTAGACTTAGTTTAGCTAGCTAGATCTAGAATCTAGATCTAGAGTACAAGGGTTAGCCAGTGTGTTATATACAGTATTATACAGTCTACATACAGATAATACATAAATAGATTAGAAATGATAGAGAAAATAAATACTCTACTAGATTCTAGATCTGGGAGTAGATCTAGATTAAGGGAGGGCCTATAAATTAAAATGTTTGTTTTGGCCATGTCTAGATTCTGACTCTATTTCTGGAGATCTAGATCTAGATTTTGATCTAAATACCAAGTTCTAGACCTACTTTTGACAAATACCTCAAAATTTGGGCGGGGGGGGGGAGTAGGCTTTATACTTATACAATTGCAGAGTTTCTTCCAGGCATTTTTACCGCCCCCCCCCCCCCCCCCCCCCGAACGAAATGAAATTTATATAATTTATATAGAAAATATATAAATTTAACAGTGTCCGCCCCCCCCCCGAAGAAAGTCTACCCCCCCCCCCCGAAAATTTCAAGTGCCCCCCCCCCGGAGAAAAAAGTCTGGAAGAAACACTGTACAATTGTATAGCATAGATCTAGATCTAGACCAATATATAAATATTCTTCTAGGCCTACTAATTTGATTTAACTAAAGCGGCATTTTAGACAGCAAAGATAAAAAGGTGTTATTATTGTATTATTGTATTTAGTTAGTATATTTAGCTTATAGATTTCTAGTTCTAGATGTTAAGAATAGAATCTTTATGGTTAATCCTAGAAAGCTACTAAATCTAAATAAATATTGCCCCCCCCCCTCATACTAGGCTAGGATAGCAATAAACTGTACACATAAAGGATGCATTTACTAGTACGGTAATAGACTATAAAAAAAGCTTTTTCAGTTTGTTTAGACACAAGAATCTTGTTATTTTTTAAACAGACAAATTTAATCGTCATGCATCATCAGTATTATTACTGAATAATAGCAATTTTATATTGTATGTGTAAATCTCAAGGGGTCATAAAAGACGTCACGCTTGTTTGACGATTTTACTTCCCCCTTCCCCTCCGTCACACATCGTCACAAAAAGCCAGACCCCCCCCCCCTAAAATGAAGGCACGAGTCAGCCTACAACCCCCCTCAAAATTGCAGTTGAATTTTTCTTAAAATACGAAATTTCTCCAAAATCTTGTCTGAAATGTGTCAACATAATGTTCAAAAAATATTTTGGAATTTAGAGAGATCAATTTAAGTGGCTGCAAAACAACTGATCGAGAACTCTAGAATTTTGTACTAGAGATCAAGATTTAGATCTACTAGATTCTAGATCTATTAAGACCTGACAAATATATTAAATGATGGCGTAGTTCTAAATAAATATACTAGTAAATATCAGGCTTTTAAAGATGTGTTGTCCAGTATAACTATAATATAATTGATTAGATCTAGTAATAGTTAAGTAATAATAAGTTATTAAGTAATAAGTATAAGCTAAGTTTTTAAGTCAAGTTTTTAACTTTTCGGTCTCTCAGACTCTAACTCAGTAGTCACTAGTAAACTACTGAGTACTAAAGAAAGACTCAGACCGAGAGTAATCTAGACAAAAAAGCAAAGATATTTTAAATTTACTCCAGCCCCCCCCCCCCCCCCCCCCCCCCCCCGGTCTGGCCTCAACCAACTGGTGGGCTTTCAGGCAAGTGTTCAGGAAGCCCCCATTCACAAAGCACTTCTACACCACCCCCTTCCTGCTCGACAAAATGGAAAAATTAATGCCTATAGACTATAGTAGTATAGTTTAGACATCTATCCTATGGAAAATATAGCCTATACTTTAAACTTTAAACAGTGTCTGACTGCCAGCCTAAAAATGCCTGAAAGAAACACAGTTGTGCTTGTTGCACAGAGTTAACTCAAGTCTCTGACCTAATAACTGACTACACAACTTTAATTTTAGCATTTCTTAAGCCTATTGCATTAGAATTTGTATTATCACATTGATAATATTACTATAATTATTTATTAATTAGGCCTATAGTTTTGTATAAACCTAATGAACCTGTCAAACTAAGTCTGTGTAATTTAATGAAGTTGAAGAATCAAGTTAACTAATTTTTTTTATCAATCTAGAATCTAGACTGACCAGATGTCCTCAGAGCTCTCATATGAAGCTTCAGATGAAGCATCAGAGAATGAACTACTAGAACGCAGTTTGTCTGTATGGCGAGGATGGAGTGCGATAGAATGGGAAGATTTTACACCCATTGCTTTGGATATTCATACTGCATGTAGCATTGGTCATTTTGACTGGGTTCGATCACTTATCCTTAAGTAAGCTTCACATAGCCTATATCACCTAAACAGTGTTTCTTTCATACATCTCTTTTATTGGTTGTACATACATTCATAATTTGATTTTTGCCAGTTTTTAAGTGCAAGTTTTATTATAAAAAATTCTAAAGTCATCTCTTTATCATTTTAAAATATTACAAAGGACATTTATCTAAAAAAAGATTTCTTAGTGTGCAGTTCAAATTGCTTTAAAATTATTGCTTCTTGTAGATTAAAATCATAAAAATGTAAACAATAGGGGGCCTATCTAATTTGTAAATTATATATACTGTACATTATACATTGCCACTTATCATAAAACTCTGTTACTTCTTTTAGAAATGATGGTCAAAAAGACAGAAAAAATGTTGGGGGCTGGACACCACTAATGTATGCCTGTTATATTGGCCATGACAACATAGTTAATCTGTTGATCAAAGAAGGATGCAACATGAACATGAAGAACCCTAAAGGCCACACCCCTCTTATGCTGGCAGCAAGTTGTGGGAATGAAAGTGTTGCTCGCACTCTAGTCAGGGTAGGCATACTATTATTTCTTGTGTATAAAACATGAGAGGATTATGTTTATGTAACTCATCTAATAAGTAGGATTACAAAAATAACTCATATTCCAATGCCCAAGATGGACGTATCCCTTACTGTACTGTATATAGTAAGGTGCAGTTTCTTAATATCAATAAAACCACACTAGTTCTTTCCTTTACTAGAATAACATTCGTGAAACGTAAAAAAACAAATAGGAAAATATTAGACCAAAAAATTAATTGGTGGTTGATGGTCAGCAATAAAACAAAAATCTGATTCACTAATGAAAGCAAAAGTCTGACTAAAAATAGAACATTTAAGTTTGAAATCAATAAGAGACATATGAAAGCCTTAAATAAAACACATAATAAATATTTTGCCATCTTTTATCCAGAAAGGAGCAGAGCTTGAACTGATTGACAGGAGTGGTTGGACAGCTTTGTTCCATGCAACTTACGCAGGTCATCAAAACTTTGTTGCTTTCCTTCTTGAGGCTGGGGCAAACATGGATGCTGTGTAAGTCACACTAGAGGTTCTTAATTATTACATTGGTATCTAGTATTTTGTATCTTAGGTAACATAAAAATGAATGAATTAAAGCAATGAAGTAAGCAAGAAATTTTTTACTGCCAACAGTGAGCCCAGCTCTGGGATGACACCATTTATGGAAGCTGCTGCAGAAGGACATGAGATCATAGTTCAAGAGTTTCTAAAGCATGTAAGTATGACATTCATAAAGGCTTATACATGAGATCATAGTTCAAGAGTTTCTAAAGCATGTAAGTATGACATTCATAAAGGCTTATACATGAGATCATAGTTCAAGAGTTTCTAAAGCATGTAAGTATGACATTCATAAAGGCTTATACATGAGATCATAGTTCAAGAGTTTCTAAAGCATGTAAGTATGACATTTATAAAGGCTTATACATGAGATCATAGTTCAAGAGTTTCTAAAGCATTTAAGTATGACATTCACAAAGGCTTATACATGAGATCATAGTTCAAGAGTTTCTAAAGCATGTAAGTATGACATTCATAAAGGCTTATACATGAGATCATAGTTCATGAGTTTCTAAAGCATTTAAGTATGACATTCACAAAGGCTTATACATGAGATCATAGTTCAAGAGTTTCTAAAGCATGTAAGTATGACATTCATAAAGGCTTATACATGAGATCATAGTTCAAGAGTTTCTAAAGCATGTAAGTATGACATTCACAAAGGCTTATACATGAGATCATAGTTCAAGAGTTTCTAAAGCATTTAAGTATGACATTCATAAAGGCTTATATATGAGATCATAGTTCAAGAGTTTCTAAAGCATGTAAGTATGACATTCATAAAGGCTTATACATGAGATCATAGTTCAAGAGTTTCTAAAGCATGTAAGTATGACATTCATAAAGGCTTATACATGAGATCATAGTTCAAGAGTTTCTCAAGCATGTAAGTATGACATTCATAAAGGCTTATACATGAGATCATAGTTCAAGAGTTTCTAAAGCATGTAAGTATGACATTCATAAAGGCTTATACATGAGATCATAGTTCAAGAGTTTCTCAAGCATGTAAGTATGACATTCATAAAGGCTTATACATGAGACCATAGTTCAAGAGTTTCTAAAGCATGTAAGTATGACATTCATAAAGGCTTATACATGAGATCATAGTTCAAGAGTTTCTAAAGCATGTAAGTATGACATTCATAAAGGCTTATACATGAGATCATAGTTCAAGAGTTTCTAAAGCATGTAAGTATGACATTCATTGTTACTGGGAGAATAGGCATACCCATAAAGGCCTATACATGTAGCTAGTATAACAGTTTATGCTATTTCAATCCCTAACACTCAGCCAAATGCTGAAAGTTAAATTAATAATATTTGTGGTACCAGATTTCAAAATTTGTTTTTAATAGTAATATAAACTTTTTAATCTATTTATTTAAAATGTTCATATATATACACAAACACACACCCTACTATAGACATAAAGTTTATTATCGCTGATGTTGTATCTATCCTGCTAGGGTGTCAATGTGAATGCTAGAGCACATAGTGGGGACACTGCCAGGACCCTGGCTGTACTGAATGGCTACATGAAGATTGTTAGTCTCATCGACAACCACACCATGCCTCTCATTTCCTTGAGGTCTGAAGCTGGTAAGTGGAACTTGATCTGTTCTTATAGATTCTCTTTTAAAAATTACTTTCCTATGTGTTACAAGATTTGTCAAAATGTAGTATTAAACAAGATAAGATTGCAATATTTTATATTATATAATATATACAGATTCATCCTTTCCTGTTAGTGCATAGGACACATGAGGCAGATGAAGCAAAGTTAATCTGTTTAAGTTACCTCGGCATATAAATTGAAAGCATTGCCAATATTTTGTTCAGCTACCTTAATTTTCCCTAATATGAGTCAGGTACTCATCAGAGCTGGGTGGACTCAGTCAGGGATTAAAATTGACCTTCAGATCAAGCGCTGTCTCTCTTGACCACGCTGTCAGTATTTGGCAGATTATCAAAAGCAGATTGTATTGAAAAGGTTTAGTTAGAGTTGCTTGTAGAAACATGGACCACATAAAATTTGACATGATGTGTTGAACAAGCTGAAAGTTTATTATAGAAAATAGACTGATAATGTTTTGTGTTTAACAGGTCTAGAGCTGTACAGTTCATCTGATGAAGCCCTAAACAAGAGACACCCATCCACTCGCCACCTGCGTCTGAAGACCCAGGGCCCAAGTATAAGAGATGGACCTGAGGCCATTGCTAGAATGATTGATAGGACCAGATGCACTGACCCTGTGTACTATCCAAGTATGTTCCCCATTTAAGTGGATTCTAAAAATGTTTTGTGTTGACTTAGGTCTCCCAAGCAGCTGTAGAGTAAAGAAAAGAGTTTAAAAATTTCAGCCCTGATAGTCCTTTGACAAGTGAAATAACTCTCATGTGTGCATGTGAAGGCATTGTGTGATCAGCATGTAGTCGTTGCTTTTATTTGACTTTAGTCAGGTACCCATTAAAGCTGTGTTGACTCAAAGAATTCCTACAGACATTGGGAACCAAACTGATAGTTTCATGTTGGCTGTTGTGTGCTGTACAATTTGACCATTCCATTCCTCACCTTTCTTTGTACTTGTCAACCAAATTTCTAACTACATGTTGTTTCCCTTTAGATTGTCACATTCCCAAGGGTTATGTCTCTTTTCCTGCCATGGGAGACGACAAACAGGAGACCAAACTGTCCCATAGAGATGTCACCTCCCCCATCAACCCTGAGGACTATAAGGAGAGCTCAGAAAGTAGAGGTCAGTGCTCAGGACAGTTTTTATTTTATCCTCACTTGATGAATACAAACTTTAGTAATGTAGAAACATCACCCTCAAAATATCTACTAAAATAGAAAATTAGTTCATTATTTATCATTTTTAATACCAAAAAAAAATTGTAATTCAAGAAGAGTACCTTCCTTTTAAACAGGGCTTGATCGGTAGCTTTATCTACTACATAGCTGTGTATATGTGTATGTGCGTCCCAACTGCTTTTATTTTATACCACATACTGCTACACAACTCCCTTTATTGTTATTTTTTTATTTAGCTAGGCCAGTCTTATGTTGATTTAGGGCTTGTGGTGATATTATTTTACTTAAAACCATAATTTTTGTCTCATTTTTTAACTTTTCTTTAATTATATTCATTAAGGGACCTTATTTGTACCTTTGATTTTAGCTTAGTTTTTGTTTATTCTGTTATGACAATTATTCTTATTTAGAAACTTTTACAGTTATTTATTTATAATACTTCTGTCTTGTTGTTTTAATGTTTTGTTTATATAGTTAAGTAGTCAAATCATCATGGATAATTATTTCCTCCCCTAGATTATGATGACTGTAATGATGACAGCAATGCCTTCACCAAGACAGGGGCCATCACCATCAAAAGCAGCTCCAGCTCTAGTGGCGGGCTGGTGGCAGCCCTAGGGCTGAGTCGTGAAGGCAGCATAGACAGTGATGACTCCCACTACCAGACCACCAGCTCATCAGATGATGTAGCACCTGATGGTCCCGCTAAATCCAGGAATCATCACCGGTCTCTAAAAGCACAAGAACGCAGCTCCAACCCTGTGAAGTTATTAAAATTTCCAGATCAAAATTTAAATACAGAACACACTGGAGCTGTCTCCCCTTTGTGTGATTACTTCCCTTTAGATGCATCATTTCCAGTGGGAACCAGTAACCCAGTAACAAACACTACAGGCTCAGAGAATAATGTTATACCTAGCCAACCACCAAACTCCTGCCAATCTTTACCCAAACAAAATATGACCCAGGCTGAAATAGTTCATAGATATTTAAAAAACTTAACTCTGGATAATCCCGAGAAACAAAACCAGTTTTATGGTTATGAGAACCTCTGGGCCAGTGATTCTGCAGATGTTGTTGTAGCATTAAAAGATGGTTCTCAAGCTACTGAAAGTGTCTCTAATAGTCACAAACCATTGAAGGGGGAGACAGACAAGTCAAGTTGTGTAAACAGTTTATCAGCTTTACCTTTAGAAAAGTCTGAAGACAAACAGGCACAAGGGCCCACACAACAAGAACATACTCCACCAACAGCGGGATCTAAAAAATATCCAACACAGTCCAGCGCTGTGTCCAGTTCCTCTGATACACCCAGTGTCCACCTGAACCATCTACTGAAGGACACCACGGCTGTCCACAACCAACAGCGCACGCACCATCCCCAGCTGAACCACCATCACCCTCTGTACAACAGACACGTGACTTATTCCAACCACCAAGACATTCCGCGGCCCAATCACCCACGGCCAAACACAATTCAACCGCTTACATTTGGGCCACCTGGCACCAACAATACACCCTGGCAATATTTCTACAGTGAGACTGAGCCTCATGGCCAGTTTGGCTTCCCTACCCCAGAAAACCTGACCCTGCCACCAGACTACAGCTCACAGCTGGCTGCAGCTGGGGCCTTGACATCTAACACAGCTCATCTCCATGGCAACACATCAACAAATAACACAGCAGGTAATCATTTTCCCGCAAATAGTTTGTCGCAGTTAAACCAAGAGAACATGTTCAGTCCATCTCCAGCGATGGTGGTCATACCTGGACACTCCACCTCCCAGCCTGTGTCCAGCACAATTCACTGGCCAGACGAGGCAGGGGTCAGCAGAAGTGGGCCGCGGAACCTTGCTGAGATGCTGAACCAGCTGGGTCTGCTCAAGTACCTGGACAAGTTTGAGGAGCAGGACGTTGACCTGCAGGTGTTTCTCTCCCTTACAGACAACGATCTCAAGGAAATAGGAATCAAGTAAGATATAGGAAACTAATATTTTAAGAATTAAGTAAGATTATAGGAATCTAATATTTTAGGGATCAAGTAAGATTATAGGAATCTTGTAAGATTATAGGAATCAAATAAGATTTTAATAATCATGTAAGATTATAGGAATCAAATAAGATTTTAATAATCATGTAAGATTATAGGAATCAAATAAGATTATAGGAACCAAGTAAGATTATAGGAATCAAGTAAAATTATAAGAATCCAGTAAGATTATTTAAGTTAGATACAGGAATCCTATAAAATTATATAAATCATCAAGATTTTTTAATAGGAATCAACTAAGACCAGGAATCATAATTGTAGGAATCAAGAAAAATTGTAGAAGTGAATGTAATAAAAATCTAGAAATTAAGATAAAATGTGTGGTCCTCTTAATGATCAAGCTAATTTTTTAATTGTATCTTGGAAACAAGGAGACAGATTAAACTTTTTAAAATTATTAATATAGGTTGTGTTTTGTTTTTTCTCAATACTAATAAGCTTCTTACAACTTTTATGTCTCAGATTGTTTGGTCCCAGAAAAAAAATGACCAACGCCATTGCCCGCTGGCACAGTAACGCACCAATAGCCAGCAGCAGTCTAGAGCAGGCCTACGCTGACAGGCTGGAGGGGGAGATGCAGGAGATGGCTATACAGCTCAATCAGGTCTCTACAGCTTTTAATCATCTACTTTTTTTGTGGTTTCACTGGTCTCTTTGTGCTTTTATTTCAATATTAAGTTCTACACATAATTTTACTTATTTTCTTAGCACCTGCAATAGGCTTTAACAACTTCCCCTACAGGTTGTAATAAAACTAATGCTGGATGAGGTTTAATGTAACCTTTAAATGGAAAAAAACGTCTATAACCAATAGATGTTCACATTCCATTATTAGAAAATGTTTTGATTAAAAAAAAAATTCATGATTTGTGTAAAAATTATTCTAATAAAACAAATGTGATTATGGACCATCAACAGACCATCTCCTTTTAGCCTCATATTTAGCCAACTCTATTGATATTTGAATATTGGTTCACATGAAATTTTCATTATTTGTAGATTTACTATATGAGATTCAACATACAGGGTTTTAAAAACAGAAAGCTTAAAAAAAATGTTAATGTCATAAAATTATTTATAATATATATGGATTTTATTGACTTTAGGTAGCAGAAAATGAAGAAACTTTAAAAGCCCAGATTCTTCAAGAGCAGCAACTCCGTTCTGTTACTGAAGGCTGTCTGATGGAAGAGCGAGCCAACTGGGAGCAGGCTAGGCAACTGTTGCAGGACACAAGGACTAAGCTGAGAACTATGGGAGACTTGATGTCACGTCTTAGGTGAGTCACACGGTTCAAAATTTCAGTCTCCGCTGATGAAATAATTCTTTAAGTAGCTAGTTCCTGGTTGATTTTACAGTTATGTCTACTTTAGAAAAAAGTAATGGATAATTAAAAAATTATAATTTTCATAAAAATGGTGGATAATTTTGCCTTTTTTTTTTGTGCTTTTTGCATTTATTAAAATTGATTACTAGTTTTTATTTAATGCATTTTTTTTTAATTTAAAAATTTATTTCAGACACCACCAGAAGGAATTAAGAAAACAATTAGAAAATGTCTCAGGGCCAAAAGTTCCAGAAGACCATTCAGAGTTGCCAGAAAAAAAAATTTCCAATGGCGGATCATGTCCAGCTGACCCTTCAGCTGACCCGACCCAAGCAAGTCAGGCAGAAGAACCCTCTAAGACCTCCAGTGTTCACACCAGTAAGGAAGTGCTAAAAAAATCTGAGAAGTGTTTGAAAGAAATGCAACACACATTATCCAGCCTGGTACAAAGTGCTGATAGGATTTTAATATCTACCCATTCACTGAGCAGTTTTGATAAGGATCTATAATAGCATTTATATATCTAATCATAGACAAAACAAAATTGTTACAGATCTTTAAGTTGCATTTTTATACCCACTCATACACTAAGCTATTTACACTGAATCTATAAGTGATGAGTTCCCAATCCGTCCAGTCAATTGTCTTTCCTGTTTACCTCTATATTTAATTTTATTACTGATTTGTATATGATAGGTTATAAATTTTGCTGTATTGTATTAATAGTTCAATGCTTAAATATCTGTTAGTATGTTAATGATAAATTTTCCAAAATTTTGAATTTCTTTTTTGTAAAATATGCCTGCATTTTAGTAGTACATGGAAATCTTAGCAGTAAAGAAATTTAATATATAAATTATACTTGAAATTTCTTTTTAGTAAAATATTTGTGTATTTTAGTACTAGTTGTGCATAGAAATCTTAACACTAAAGAAATTATACATGAAATAGTTGTTTTAATATTAGTGGAAATTCTTATCCTTATCTTGTATCATTGTTTATTAAATTTTAAGTTTTGTTATAGAGTGGATATTGAGATATTCAAATTAAATTTAACATATTCTCAGGTTTATCTAATTATTCACTATCATCAAGAAGCAACAAATTATCTGGACAATGTTGTTGATGGTACTAAAACAATTAAAACATACAATAGTATTACTTGCTGTTAACAGCTCTGCTTCTGCAATGTGTCACCAGAATTTTAAATAACCAAACAGATATTCATAAATGTTTGTTGTACTACAAAGCTTTATATGATTAAATACAATTTACGTTTGGAAAATGTCACCATTTTTCGGCCTTGTAAAGGGGGCTGCAATAGATGGACTGTGCTGTTTGCTGGTGCTTACTTTAAAACTAAAAGATTTTTTTTATCAACCTGATCTAGACAAAATATTGACTTGATGTTCCCTTAGGTTAGTTCCTTGTGCAATATAAATATGATAGATTATATTTCATTGTATGAAAAATGTTACGTTTAGCTTACAAATGATACTGGTCACAAAGAATGTAGTTAACATAAATACTAGTGTCTATTTGTACTGAGATGTGAGCTAGTTTGTTGCTGTTATTTTACATTGTTGACAAGCCCTACTGCTTTTGCAAGGGTGATCAAATTATCATGAATGTACTTTGTTATATCTATTGACTGTGTATACTGTAAATAAATTGTGAAACCAATCTACTTTGTGTTGCCTATCTCTACTAGTATATCGTTAAAGCCAAATGACTAATTAGTTTGATTGCTACTCTCTGTGTTTCCTCCGCTGATGTCACTGCAGGACACAAATATTTAAATATTGGCTCAAAACCATCTCATGGTACATCTTAACTCTGATGGGTTCCTTACTAAAGGCAGCTGGACATTGTGCTGACCACATAGTCAGTTCATAACATTGTCGTAGAAACAGACTGCATTATCTGCCTAATGTATCACGTCTAATTAGGTAGGCCTGCTCATGGAAATTTAATAACTTGCTCACTTTTACAACAGATAGTGGTAGAACTAGTAGGCAACATGGTGACACTACTGGGCAACAGATGGTGGTGGCACTTGTAGGAAACGGTGGCACTAGTGGGCAACAAATTTTAGTGGGCAACAGATTTAATCCATTTTTTTAAAGAAATATTGAACACTGTTTAGCTTGAAAAAATTACTAGTTAAACTAGCACAAAACGTGAAAAGAGATATTGACAAAATTAGGTGACCAGAAACAATCTTGTGAATGTAATCATTGATAAAGGATAGGGACAATAAATATACTGCAGACATGCTCATAAATGGAACCCACAGAAAAAAAGTGGTTAGACCAAAGATTTGATCAAAAAGGTAAGTTGTAAACCAAAAAAAAAAACAACACTCTGACCAAATGCACCAATCTTCCAAAGCCTTAAGTATGGTTGCTGACCCACAAAGAATAATTTACTTAAAATAAACTATATGAAATGTGTGTAAAAACAACAGGGAAAAAAGACTTTTGCACCAGAGTAATGTGAAACTTTAATAAATTAATAATAAAAATATCACTTAACATAAAAACCAACATACAAATAAGTATAAAGACATGTTTAATTAGTTTAAAGCACATTTAGTTTACTAGAATATTTCAATATCACAAAATTACAAGAAAATGACTTGAATTTCAAATAAATAAAACTCAAAAACATTAAGTAATTAAAACTAATCATTACCAGGAAAAGTGCTTATTAAAATCATTTGATTGGACGGAATGCAAAGCCTTTATTTATTGCTATTTTTGCCTACTACTTATACTAAATATACAGGCCTAGGGGATCTAATATTAAATAACACCAGCTAAATATAGAGGCACAAAAGATTAATAAAACTAAAACAATTAGTTTATAGCTGCTTTTAAGAAATAAAAATGAAACGTGTTTATGCAATTATTACTTTGAAGGCGTATTAAAATATTTGTAGAGGATTTTTTTATATTAAGCAGTAGGTAAAAGGCACAGTTCAAATCAGGTTTAGGGACTAATCCCACAGTAAATTCAAATGGTAAAACTGTTTATATCTTGAGAAGTAATTAGTATTTTAAAATTACACTCATTAAAGCTATTATTATTAATTTTCAATAAGTCAAAAGTATTCATTCAAAATGGAAAAAAAAAACAGAAAGACAAAAACTTGATAAATATTCTTAAGCAATTAATAGATTTGTAAAAGTTATGTACTATTGTTTTCTGTTTTTAAATTTTAAAAAATTACAAAGCTTTTAAGCTTTAAAACATTGGCAAACATTATCAATGAAATTCATCATTCAAAATTTACAAAACAGATTATAGAAGGTTAAAAAATGAGAAACAGTGGAATGGTTTAAATTGTTCTCAAAATAATTCTAAACAGAGTTCCCCTGAACAAAATGGAATTTAAATATAAAATATATACTTTTATCAGTGTCCCCCCCCCCACAGAAAAATGTCTGAAAGAAACACTGGTTGTAAAAAGGTTTAAATAAAACTAACAGCTGCTGTATTATTCTATTAACCAACTGCCAACAAATAATTTGTTTAAACTTTAAGTAAATGTTTCAATAATAAGTAATAATAAAAGAGATCAGCTCTAATTTCAGCTGCAATTATAACATAAAATATAATTCTTTTAGAGAAAATCACATTTATAAAAGTTATTAAGTTTACTCAAGATTGGCAAAACCTTGTAACTCTGCAATAATTTTTGATCCATATATGTCCATAAAGTAAAGATATTTGTTTAACATAACTACATATCATTATTATTACATATTATGACTTGAAGCTTAAAAGGAACAAAGAATATACAGGAAATAATTTATTTTAATAATTTTATGCTTACAGATTTATCACAGGAACTGATCAAATGCTTTATTTATCAACAGAACTTTTTTTTTCTAATAATAGTTGTAAAATTGTACTGACTGGACGGCATGCTTTTTAGTGCATCAGTTCTATTTATATACAGTATTGGTGCTTGGAATAAAAGCCTATTTCAGCACACACAAAATTAAATAATAAAATCCATTACAATTCTTTTTTTTTTAATTTAAGTTTGCTATTTTTTACAGGATACTATCTCTTCAATAGATAAAGGAAACTAATTCACTCCAAAAATGTAAATTTAATTTTCCATTGTAAGAAATATTTTTCACAAGCTTTTATAAACTGCCGGCTATGAAAAATTTAAAAATTAAATTGATTTTTTTTAAAAAGCAACCTAAAAGCCATACAAGAGATTCTTAAAGATATATTAGTAGAATAAAATAAAGTAAAAATCTTTAACCCAACACGCATACCTTCAAATAGCAGGTAATGCATTTTAAAAACATTAAAATACTCCAGAAGAATAATGTACAATAATGAATGAAATTTATTTATTTTTTAAATAGCAGTTTCAAATCAGTAACCTACAGAAATTGATTATTTTAGTAAAAACAAATTTTAATACTGCATGGGACTGGCAGAAGAAGTGGGTATTATAAGTACTAAAACTCTAGCACAAGCTTTTAAACTAAAACAAATACTGATATAACAATTCTGAACATAGTTGTTGCAGCTGTGTATTTATATCTAAAATATAAAACTACCAGGTGGTTTTTTTTTTCCCAATTTAGTTTTTTTTTTTTTTTTGTAAATGATTTGCTTTACAGTCATTTTATAATTTTCAAAAATTCTTTACAATAAACATATATTTTACCTATCAATGAATAAGTAACAGAAACAATTCTTAAAACTTAGGGCTGTAAAACTTGATTGGGTGTGTATACCAACAGTAAACTTTGAATGTTTGTACAGTTATCACAATCTGACTCAACCTGTAACAAGTTGTCTTCTCCTGATTCGGTCAAGTTAAATGGGAGAAATCTTGTTGTCCTTGAAAATGACCACAGCAAATATAACTTCTATCAGCTGAAAATTAAAAATAAAATAACATGGTGAGATTTTAATAGTTCATTGGTTTATTAGTTATAGGTAGGAGTAGCCAATGCACCATAACAGCTGATTAACATGATATTGTATGGTGGGACAACTTAAAAACTAAGATTTTATTGGAAACAAATAAATGATAGATTTAACTAAACCTACAATCTTTGTCATGTAGGTAAATGAATTCAAATATCTTTTAAATTTAACTGGTTGCCATTTAGAAAGTTTAGCAATACATTTTCCTGAATCTAGTTAAATTATATTATTATTAGGCCTAACATTATACAACAATATTTATATATTTGGTTAACTGTAATGTAATTTCTAAACAGCATGTATGTCCATGACTACAGTACTGTTATCGTTGTAATACCATTATTCAAAGAGTGAACTTAAAACTGAATTAAGTAATAAGTAATTCAAGTAGTTACAAAATGTATTTAGGCCTTTTTTTAAAACATTAAGTAAGAGACAATCTCATAAAGTGCATTACATTAATGTCTCATAAAACTTAATTATATTTTCAAAGACTGCAATTATTTACATTTTATTAATTTCTTCTTCTTCTTCTTCTTCGTTCTTAATTATTAGTGTTGAAGGTGATCGAGATTTATCTGCCAGTGAGTTTTGAACTCGAGAGTTTGTTCAAATTTATCAACCATGAGCTTTTTGCCGACTCGACCACGCCTCCAACACAATTAAGCGCTACGTGTCGACTGGTTATGCGCCATTGAGGCCATTGACTCCGATTTCAGCCTGCTTTTCTTTTTGGATTTGCTTCCATAGCCTTTGTCCAACCAAGAACAAACTACAAGGCAGCAGTTGTTTAATTTTGGAGTTGTCTCTCCTAGAAGAGTGGCTGTCCCCAGCTAACGAGCCTCATCTGCCCGAGGGTTCGAACTCGAGACTTTTCGGTTTTGCAACCATGAGCTTTACCGACTCGACCACGCCGACCCCTCTTATTAATTTAAAAAAGGGGGAAGGGGCTTGTTGACTTTTTTAACCTTAACCATGGGCTCCCACCATCATACATTGCAGACAGTTAGTGCCAAATGTTTACCTGTAGTGCCAATACACCTCCAAGTGCCAGACCAGCCCAGATGATGTTGTCCTGTATAAGGTTTGTCAGCTTGGTGTAACAGCCCTGAAAATACAGTAAAATAAAGCTTATTTTCTCTAACTGGTTGTGTACAGCTTTTTAGTAACAAGCAGCTACAACTAAGGGTGAGATGGGTAAATTAGTTTACTAATTACATTAAAGAACAAAGCAAGGGCCATGTAAAACCTTTTAGAATCTTAACCACTCACTGATAAAATTGTTTACAGAGACATTTAAGGTGTATTCATAAAAAATAATACTGTATATTTTTATCAAATTGTCTTAAAAGTTCAGTTATGTTGAGTAACTCAAACATATCAGGAACCACAACTCAAGAGACTTGATATTGATAATTCTGTTTGTTACAAACATATTATCTAGTTCTAATTTTAAACATCAAACGTTTATTATTTTATATGTATGCCAAACACATACAGGCTATATATATATATATATATATATATATATATATATATATATATATATATATATATATATATATATATATATATATATATATATATATATATATATATATATATATATATATATATACTGTAATTAGCTTCAAGTAGTTCTAGTTTGCAAACAAACAAAACAAAAAAACTGGATTGTGACTTGTAACAAGAAGAACAATGAAAAAATGCAAGGCTATATAAAATAATTGAAAAGATCACAGTAATTTTTCAGAATTGTTTGCTTTGAGCCCCCGCTTGATTGATTATACATCAGTTTAGAATCAAAATGCAACAATCTGTTTCTCATCAATAAAATTAAGAGACAAACTGCCCAAGTTACAGTATGCCAACAAACTGTGAGATGTCAATATTATAAGAGAATCTCAATAGTTGTTCTTGTTGATACTTTTCAATGGATCATCACCAAAGGGAACAGAAGGCTTAAAAAAAATAACATAAGCAGAGGAGGACTGGTTCAGTAAAAGTGTCTCAGGAAAGGAACAAAACTTGCTGCCTCCTTCTGACTTAAACTTGAATAGTTAATTTATTTTCCAATGAAGGTTAAGGGCCAATTCTTACAAAGTCATTTTACAAATAGCAATATATAATAATAACAAAATAACAAATCTGAAGGGTTAATTGAATAAAACACAAAAAATAAATAAAAGCGTTAATAAGCATATTCCAGCAACAATCCTGACGGCCCACCAGGATTTTACTCCAGGTGAACAGGATTTTCCTTGTGCACCTGTGGCCTAGTCCACCCTTAATATAAGAAAATAAAAGTAAACTCACATTTTTATTTGTGCTGTCACATGAACGATGAGACTTGGGTATGAAATCACTTTCACCATCAATACCACAACATTCAAACTGTTGATGTAAACAATTGTAAGCTATTTAAATTATAGCCCCATTAATTCTATTGAATACAAACATTTATCTTTATAGATGCATCCTTTTAATAATTAGAGTAAATTGTAGAGATAAAAAGGAATACAAAAACAATATTTTTAATAAGGTTTTTTTCTTTTTAAAAATATTTTAAACTATTTAATTTTAATCTGCTTCCTATAACTAAAGCTCAAATTAAGCTAAATCTTTATTTGGTATTTTATTAACATCGTTATTGAAGCCATGACCTCTAATGAATTAGAGTACTGTATTTGAAGTGGTATGAGTTATAGTTATAGGGAAAATGCTTTTTAACCAGATACATCTATTTTTAATTATACTGAAATATATTTAAAATTGATTATATTCTTTCAAGTGGTCAAATATCAAAAATACATTTTAAAATCGATAACTTGATACATAAACAAATTATAACAGTTAAGGTCAAAATCTATAGCCTGATCTAAACATATAAACTCTAGTACTAAAACAAGTTGAAGTAGATTGGTATTTTTATCAGTTATACTCACTTTACTAAAGTTCATTATTAGTAAATTACATTTTTTTTACATCTGTTTTCAAGCCAAATTCATTAAACACTTATTCATTTTTTAAATTATATTTCAACTTACATAATGGTTGACAAGGTTTATGGACTGGCTAAATGGGTCAGTTCCATTTTCATTATAGTCGGTTTTGATTTTATCCTTCAGGGTTGTCCGGATGGTTGAATGGATCTGATTTTAGAAGTAAGATTAAATAAACAGAACTAGAATTGTCACTTAATAACCTAGTAAGCCGTAGTTAAGTTATAAGTTTTATAATTTAATAGACTGTGAATAGAGCAGAAACACTTTCTAATACTACAGATATATAATTTAATATTAATTACAATACTTATAAGTGGTAATAATTAATTTAAATTAAATTTAAAATTATAACTATAATATTAATTATTATAAATAATATAACTTAGTAGTTAGTAGTTAGTAGTTAGTTACTTGGGTGATCAAAATTTGTGTGGCTCTAACTAGACCTTGCACAAATACATTAGGTCTGCTTCATCACAATTCAATTATTTAAGACAAACTAAACTTGCCTACCAGGCAACTTAAACTTTTAACTAAGCCTATCTTTACGTACCGGAGAGCTAGGCACGTAGAACATTGTGACGACAACAAGCTCGGCAATCATCAGGCAAATCATAACAAGGGCAAACTGGTATGAAAAGATAGTAAATTAGTAATTAGTTCATCTCTTTAACTGCTTATCCGAGTATGTCTTTAAAAAAATCACTGTCTTTGGGCTTAAAAGAAAAAATAAGACCAGCAGTCGTTTTGTAAAATGTTGATGCTCCCCCTCCCAGTCTTCCGCTTTGTAATCTGCTGTCATATTTTGTTGGAGTTGTTTTACATATTTCAATGTTATTTTTCATGGCCAATGAAAGGTACGCAAATTCTTATTAGTCTCTGAATAAGCCTCTAAATTAGGCATATACAAATGTTATCAGAGGCCCATACAAGATTTTGTAATAAAGGGAGGTTTTCTCAACAAAAACTTCATATAGACCCTATGTGTGTATGTAGGCCTATATATCTGTATATATATATATATATATATATATAATGGCTTGTATGTACTCACGCCCAGCAGCAGACACTTGCAGCAGGAACTGCACGAGCCACAACATCCCATGAAGCTAATGGCAAACAGAACAAGCCCCAGGATAAACAGAGCCACGCCGACCTCGTACACCATGGGCAGGTCTTTGAGATCGTTGACATCCTTGGGCATAGTGTAGCCAGCCGTGCCTGCAAAAATAAATTGGATTAAACGATTAGATGGATTAACTCTTATTAAATTTAGATACAGTCTATCAGTAGTTGTTGAAAAAAATAGGATGATTGCTTTCTGAAACTGCACACACATTAAAAAATAAACATGTAGATTACATGTTGAGTAGAATTAAATGTGAAATTTCAAGTGTTCTTTGTGAGCTTAAAAGAAGATGTTGGTAGATACACTTTTTTAATTCGTTAGTTTGTCGATAAAACTAAAATCTTACTTGCAGCTTTAGTTGCAGCGTCCAACATATACTTCAAGACAGTGCCAGGGATAAACGCCAAAATAGCTCCAATAGCGACCAAACCTAAACTTATGATCTGCATTAAAATCAAACATTCACTGATTCAGGTAGGTTTTATTATAAACATTCGAACACGTTTTATATCAAACTTTGAGGTAAATTATATAACAAATAAATATATAAGAATACGTGCTTCAAATCGTCGGTAAAACTGTCCGGTTTTTTTAGACTATGTAACTGGGCTAATAGTTTGTATGTGTCTCAAGACGATATTTCTACTCACGCCCAGCAGCATCCTCGTGTAAACAAACTCACACAACATCCACATGTAAACAAACTCACACAACATCCACATGTAAACAAACTCACACAACTATAACATCCACGTGTAAACAAACTCACACAACCACAACATCCACATGTAAACAAACTCACACAACATCCACATGTAAACAAACTCACACAACCATAACATCCACATGTAAACAAACTCACACAACCATAACATCCTTGTGTAAACAAACTCACACAACATCCACGTGTAAACAAACTCACACAACCATAACATCCTTGTGTAAACAAACTCACACAACATCCACATGTAAACAAACTCACACAACATCCACGTGTAAACAAACTCACACAACCATAACATCCTTGTGTAAACAAACTCACACAACATCCACGTGTAAACAAACTCACACAACCACAACATCCTTGTGTAAACAAACTCACACAACATCCACGTGTAAACAAACTCACACAACCACAACATCCTTGTGTAAACAAACTCACACAACATCCACATGTAAACAAACTCACACAACTATAACATCCACGTGTAAACAAACTCACACAACCACAACATCCACGTGTAAATAAACTCACACAACATCCACGTGTAAACAAACTCACACAACCACAACATCCACGTGTAAACAAACTCACACAACATCCACGTGTAAACAAACTCACACAACCACAACATCCTCGTGTAAACAAACTCACACAACATCCACGTGTAAACAAACTCACACAACATCCACGTGTAAACAAACTCACACAACCACAACATCCACATGTAAACAAACTCACACAACATCCACGTGTAAACAAACTCACACAACCACAACATCCACATGTAAACAAACTCACACAACATCCACGTGTAAACAAACTCACACAACCACATCATCCACGTGTAAACAAACTCACACAACATCCACATGTAAACAAACTCACACAACATCCACATGTAAACAAACTCACACAACGAAAACATCCTCGTGCAAACACACTCAACCATAACATCCACATGTAAACACACACAACCACAACATACACGTGTAAACAAACTCACACAACATCCTTGTGTAAACAAACTCACACAACATCCACGTGTAAACAAACTCACACAACCACAACATCCACATGTAAACAAACTCACACAACCACAACATCCACGTGTAAACAAACTCACACAACATCCACATGTAAACACACACAACCACAACATACACGTGTAAACAAACTCACACAACCATAACATCCACATGTAAACACACACAACCACAACATACACGTGTAAACAAACTCACACAACATCCTTGTGTAAACAAACTCACACAACATCCACGTGTAAACAAACTCACACAACAACAACATCCTTGTATAAACAAACTCACCAGAAACACAACGTTCAGCAAAATGAGAATACATTTTCCAATTGTTGCGCAGGCCATGTTTGACGTGTGATGGTCTCAGCAGACGTAGAACAGGACTCTGTGGTGACGTATGTCTGAGCGATGACGTAGATCTCAGTAACGGCTTTTAAATCTTAAAGTGTAAGACTTTATAGACGAAATTTGTAGAGTTGATGAGAAGACTTGCTGATTAAATGTGACGAATCTGTGCTGAATCTTCCTTGTTCTGCAAATAATAAAATATAATAAAATGTAAAGATATTTCAGATTAATTATTGTTTATAATTCTTTAAATTAAAGATTAATTTGATTAAAATATTTGAAGATACGTGACGTTTTTTTTTTTTTTTGTGAACAAAGACTGGATTATTAAATACGAAGCTGCGCACTTTCAGTAGGATATTAAAATAATAATGGCATGGCTGTATGTTGACAAAGTCGAGGACATGGATACCATATTATATCAAAACCATGGGGTCAGGTAAATCAGGTGGTAAGGTAACTTGTGTGGTAAGGTGAATTGGGTGGGGAGGTGAATTATGTGGTAAGGTGAATTGGGTGGGGAGGTAACTAATATAGTAAGGTGAATTGGGTGGGTAGGTGAATTATGTGGTAAGGTGAATTGGGTGGGGAGGTGAATTATGTGGTAAGGTGAATTGGGTGGTGAGGTGAATTATGTGGTAAGGTGAATTGGGTGGGTAGGTGAATTATGTGGTAAGGTGAATTGGGTGGGGAGGTGAATTATGTGGTAAGGTGAATTGGGTGGGGAGGTGAATTATGTGGTAAAGTAAATCCGCGCTTCTCTACACGTTTGTCTACAACCATGTCCTAATCTCTGTCCTAGCGACCCCTGTCCTATCGACCCCTACCCTAGTGACCCCTGTCCTATCGACCCCTACCCTAGTGACCCCTGTCCTATCGACCCCTACCCTAAACGCCCTTATAGCTCTACTAAACAAGACAACAAAAACAAACCTCTATATCTATTCTAAACCAAACGTTTAGCATGTTTTTCTTTCATTAGCTCTCGCTGATTTATACCTGTGCTTTTAAAAACTACAGCCAAAAAAAAAAGTATTGAAGTAACAAGAATTCTTGTAATAATGATCCCCCCCACTCCCACCCCTTCTCCCCCACCCCCTCCTACAGTGAACCGGATACGTCTAGACAATCGAACACGATCGAGTTCGATCGTGTCATCGAACGTGTCGGCACTAAACAACACGTTTTTCCCGGCAGTCTTTGACTCTATGTCTTTATGTCGGTGTAAAATTGAAAGCTCTACCAGGCCTTCTGTTGTTTAGAGTTGTCTTCCCTTCCTGATTCACATACCAGTGCAAGGCAACTTAATTTTAGTTTTATTTCACAGTATACAAGAGTTATCCTTCGCTGGTCTCATGGATTAAATATAGGCCTTAGCTCCCTTTACTTCTATGAGTGGAGTGGAAGTCTGATACCAACAGTGAATGTATAGAATCACCAACATAACCCTCAAACAAATATAGCAGACAATAAACAAGTTATAATCCACAAGCTTAAAATAACTTTGATCGAATTCACAATTCAGTACAGCTGCACATTCAGGGGACAATTATAACAGGCTGATAAAAAATGTTAGGGTTGTTAGTAACAATTTGATGAAACATTAGATTGTTATGTCGTAACTGTCATAAAACTTAAAGACAACATTTCGTTTTGAAAGATTAACATTTTGTTAAGAGACCAGCATTACATTTCATTTCGAAAGGTTAACATTTTGTTAAGAGACCAACACATTTCATTTCGAAAGGTTAACATTTTGTTAAGAGACCAACACATTTCATTTCGAAAGGTTAACATTTTGTTAAGAGACCAACACATTTCATTTCGAAAGGTTAACATTTTGTTAAGAGACCAACACATTATTTCGTTCAACTAAAACACTCAAAACGTGCTGGTTCAGTAGGTCCCGCGTTCGAACCCCCAGGCCGATGAGTCTCAATAGCTGAGGACAGCAAACATCAAAGAAAGAAATGTATAGACAACTTCAAAATAAAAAAACAACTGCTGCCTTGTAGTTTGTTCTTGGTTGGACAAAGGCTATGGCGGCAAATCCAAAAAAGCAGGCTGAAAACGGAATCAACGGGCCATATTGCTCATACAAGATGACTAGCAATACTTAATTGTGTTGGAGAAAATCCCTCCCAACATTAAATTAAGAACGAAGAAGAAGAGCATATTATAATTAAGAAAGAAGAAATCCCTCCCAACATTAAATTAAGAACGAAGAAGAAGAGCATATTATAATTAAGAAAGAAGAAATCCCTCCCAACATTAAATTAAGAACGAAGAAGAAGAGCATATTTAAACAATTGGTAGCTGTCTGGGTTGTTGTTGTTGTTTAAACCAAAAAATCCAGGCATGCTGTGTACAGAGGAACTCAAGCGTGTAGTTTAATTAATTTTTTACTTGAAGTTTTAATCCAGACATTTCAACTGGACGCTTGGGGTGCATTGATGTTTCGAACAATCGGAGTCGCTCAGTTTTAAAAAAACACGTTCAGTCCTTATGTATGACGTGATGGTGTAAAGTGGTGGCACTGTATCATGGGACGTCCCATATCCCATCCCACTGATTTATTACTTAACACGTCCCTTAACCCATCTCACTGATTTATTACTTAACACGTCCCATAACCCATTCCACTGACTTATTACTTTAACACGTCCTATAACCCATTCTACTGATTTATTACTTAACACGTCCCATAACCCATCACGCTCAGCAAATTGACATGCCTATTATTAATATACTACTTATTGTGCAGTCAACTCTATTCTATATATTACCATATTATATCAGGTAAGTGCCGCCATACAATAGATGAAGTACGTGTGTCTTATGTAGAACGATGCCCGTATTACAATGTACAACGATGCCCGTATTACAATGTACGAAGATGCCCGTATTACAATGTACAACGATGCCTCTATTACAATGTACAACGATGCCTCTATTACAATGTACAACGATGCCCGTATTACAATGTACAACGATGCCTCTATTACAATGTACAACGATGCCCGTATTACAATGTACAACGATGCCTCTATTACAATGTACAACGATGCCCGTATTACAATGTACAACGATGCCTCTATTACAATGTACAACGATGCCCGTATTACAATGTACAACGATGCCTTAACTCTAATCCTTATTTGAGCTCAGCTTGTGTGTGACATTTCGATACACGCCCCCACTCCCCCCGCCCTGCCCCACCTACCATACGACTATTTTAACGGATCAATGTCTGATACGTGATGTTAGACAGTCAGTATAAAAAACGTGGGTGAGATGTTTGATCTTGGAAACACAAACTTTTGAGCGGCGTTTTCTAAAAACAATTAAATAGTAAAACATCAAACTATAAAATATTCAACTGTAAAACATCGAACTATACAATATTCAACTGTAAAACATCGAACTATACAATATTTAACAGTAAAACATCGAACTATACAATATTCAACTGTAAAACATCGAACTATACAATATTTAACAGTAAAACATCGAACTATAAAATATTCAACTGTAAAACATCGAACTGTAAAATATTCAACTGTAAAACATCGAACTATAAAATATTCAACTGTAAAACATCGAACTGTAAAATATTCAACTGTAAAACATCGAACTATAAAATATTCAACTGTAAAACATCGAACTATAAAATATTCAACTGTAAAACATCGAACTATAAAATATTCAACTGTAAAACATCGAACTATAAAATATTCAACTGTAAAACATCGAACTATAAAATATTTAACAGTAAAACATCGAACTATAAAATATTCAACTGTAAAACATCGAACTATAAAATATTCAACTGTAAAACATCGAACTATAAAATATTTAACAGTAAAACATCGAACTATAAAATATTCAACTGTAAAACAGCGAACTATAAAATATTTAACAGTAAAACATCGAACTATAAAATATTTAACAGTAAAACATCGAACTATAAAATATTTAACAGTAAAACATCAAACTATAAAATATTCAACTGTAAAACATCGAACTATAAAATATTCAACTGTAAAACATCGAACTATAAAATATTTAGCAGTAAAACATCAAACTATAAAATATTTAACAGTAAAACATCAAACTGTATGCCTGATCGATTCATTACCACCATGAACTAAAAAACCTGATGAACTAACAAGAAACGCCGTTGTTTTGAACCAGTGGAGTGGAAACTACGACCGGCCCGGCACCAACCACTTACCATTGTCTGGTGTCAGGGTGCCGCGGAGCCTTACATTGTATTACAAAACTGAACAGTTGTTTTAACATACATAAAACATACTGTTTCAAGGAACTTCTGCATTGTAACTCGGTTAACTTATGAACATTTAATAACGCTTTCAAATGTGGACACGTATGTAACTAAAGTATATATATATATATATATATATATATATATATATATATATATATATATATATATATATATATATATATATATACATATGTGCATCTGGCTCTTCAAAACGTGCTGTCCAGGCTTTGCGCCTTGATTTCCTTTACACAATTCTACATCCAACTATCAGACTATGAAGCCATTTAGTTGAAAGCTTATAATTATAGATTAATTAGTCAGTGGTCGTTAACTGTAAGGCAAAATGGGTTATATGAATGAAAACAACGTTAAATTAAATGTAAGATATCAACTTTTACTTCTGACATATATTATGTTGTCTATTATATTGTGTCTGTTACCAAGTCTACTAAGGCTGAACAAAGTTTATTTACACTGGTATCAATGATTTTTTCAGTTTTTATTTTTTGAGTTATTACAATTCTAGTTTATATCTAAAAATTGATCACTTTGACACCACATTTCGCTAAACATTAATAAATTGGCCCCTAATAAATACAATATTATGTTTAAATTATTCTAAAGTTGATACAATGTTTTAAAAGCATCTTGAAATTTGTAAAAAAAAATCTGATTTTACTACAAGTTCACCCTAAGAAAAGAGCGGAAAATATAAAGCCTACGTGTACATTATATAAATGTTTTGATGGTTGCAACCATTTCAAGTAACAAAATTGTTCTATACGGCTCCCTGAAGTATCGAGCAGAAAAATAAATAAACCGGCTCCTTTCTCAAATCCCAAAGCAAACAGCCGGTTTAGGCCGGGTATTAGAAAGTTCGAAAAGGTCACTTCACTTGGATATTACTATACGGTGATTGTGTTTGGGTATCAAAAATAGAAGTTGCTATTTTTGTGATATATCGCTGTTATTTTTGTGACATATCGCTGTTATTTTCAAACTACATATCTACGGTATTTCCGAAGTTGTCTAAGCTTTATGGTATAATTAGAGTTGAAACATTAGTCGGTTAACTAATTGGCAGGGTTTCTTTCGCAAATTTTTTCCGGGGGTGGGAGGGGGAAAAAGGGGAATAAACTCTGCTAAAACTTTTTTAGAATTACAAGTACTGAAACAAGAGATTACGCATCCTGGCGGAATCATGAATTTACATCTAAGGAACTATGTAAAATATTTAACGTCAAAAAACTTTTTTTAATTGAAATTATTTTTGACCACACGTTAGCGAACGGTGTTTTAATTTTTTTTTAATAAACCACAAGAAAAACAATGCGACACAGCAAAAAAGAAATCATAAAAAGATAATAAAATCACAATACACAAAACAGAATAAAACACACAAAACACACAATACAACATAAAACAACTTGGCACAACAAAATACAACACAATCCAATACACATTCAATACGATATTCCTAAAATACAATGATACATTATATACATATATATATATATATATATATATATATATATATATATATATATATATATACATGTATATATATATATATATATATATATATATATATATATATATATATATATATATATATATATATATATATCCTTATAAAGCTTCTAACCTTGTTGTTGCGTTTAAATCCCACCAGTCATAGATAAGCCACCTCAATAAACCAAGAACATATAACCCACTTGTATTTCAAATAATTACAGACAAGCAAACGACGACGGTGCTTGGAGGGTTAAACAATATCTAAGTCTCCCGAGTGATTGGACCCTCCTTATGTATGTGTGTCAGTACTGTCACGTGCCTATTGGCGTAGGGCACTGCGTCAGGTATTGTTTACAGGCAGTCACGAAGTTAGGGGTGGGGGGGGGGATAAGTCTAACTAGGTGGGGGGGGGGGGAGGAGGGGAGAAGTCTAACTTGGTGGTGGGGGGGGGGGGAGATTTTAAGTTGGGTCTTTAAGATCCTGCTTAAAATCTTTTACCCCCCACCCCCCACCCCCACCCCTAAACCTAAGAAAAAAAAAGTTGGTCTTCGATACAAAGGCTTAAAATTTAAAAGGATTGTTAGCAAGTTGTAAGGCTGTACCACGTGATCGCCAGAGGTGTAGCTAAGGGAGGGGACGCCAAAATAGGTAAAATGTATATTATAGACATCTTTTTTGAGCTTCATTACACACACACACACACACATATATATATATATATATATATATATATATATATATATATATATATATATATATATATATATATATATATATATATATATATATATATATATATATATGGACGAACAATTGTTTGTTTTATGGACATTCAATATTTCGACATTGCAATCACAGCTGTCACTTCACGTTACACAACTTTTAACTAAGGACCATTGTGAAATGTTTTAACCCTCTTAATGTCTCTAGTCTACGGCACTGATATATTAATACATATGTGTGTGTGTGTCTGTTTGTGTTTATATGTGCATAAGTGCCGTAGCATTTTTAGATTCACGCGACTCGTGACTTGTTAGCGTCAAGTGAGTAACCACGTGACTGGATTTGAGCAGAAGCCGTTACCTGAAGCCGTTACCTGAAGCCGTTACCTGAAGACGTTACCTGAAGCCGTTACCTGTGTCGTGACTATAGAGTTACGGCACCTTCACGTCTGACCTAACATGTAGGCTTTAAATAACAGACGGTCGCAATACGGAACAGATGAATCACATAAGGTCGCAATACGGAACAGATGAATCATTTAGGTCGCAATAGCGTGCTGCTAAAGTCGAATACATATCTAAATATATATCCCTGACGTCATTAGTAAGATTTGAGCCGGATACCATGAAAACATTGCGAAGATTGTGGGGCGGGGTGGGGAACGCGATCTCGACAAAATTTGAATTTTACAAAGTTGAAAAATAAAACCGGGAAGATAATCTCAAAAGAAAGATTTTCAAAATTAAAACCCAAATCCTTATCTACCCCAGGGGTTATTATTTAAAGATCGCTCTTTAAAGTGCCCTTGTTCTTAAAAACACCCATAGCGGGTCACCATAAATACACCCCCCCCCCTTCTTATCAGTCTCAATCCCAGGTTGTCGCACCTTATCAAAAAGCAAACGCTTCGACTTTTAAATTGATAAATCTTTACTAAATGGGGCACATTGCAATCTGTCCCCTTGTGTCTAGGTAGCCATTCTTCTGCCCCGTATTTTTTTTATTGACAACATCGTCATTGAACTCTCTATGGCAATAGCGAGATAAGGCAGTCTCCATTGTAATAAGGACGTCATTCTATGTAGGTCATGGCGCTAAAAATAGACAACTTTAACAAAACACCGCGTGACTAGGTTGACTAAAATGACAGCGAATCAATACAAATGTAAATACTTTGACAAATACAAGAAACAAAAGGGACAACAATTATTTGACGTAGGAGTGACGTCATGACTTACCTTGACTTCAACTTTTGTTGGACAAACTTAATTAATATTTCGTGACGTTTTAAGGTACAGCGTCGTGGGGTATAATTTTTATAATTAATTAACAATTATATTAGATCAGTCATGCGTGACAGAGGTTACCGAACCTGCGAGGTGGTCTGAGTTGAGTGACTTAACTTGAACCATCCAACCATGACAGACATGAACCATCCATGACACATGAACCAGCCATGACACATGAACCACCCTTGACAAATAAACCATCAATGACACATGAACCACAAAAATGACATATGAACCACCCATGACATGAACCACCCACGACACATGAACCACCCATGACATATGAACCACCCACGACACATGAACCACCCATGACAAATAAACCATCAACGACATATGAACCATAGAAATGACATATGAACCACCCACGACACATGAACCACCCATGGAACATGAACCATCATGACACACATAAACCAACAATTACACATGAACCACCCACGACACATGAACCACACATGAACCACCCAGACGAATATTCGAAAAACTTCACACCCACATCAACAGGTAAACTCTACCTCACCTGTCCCAAGTACATCTCGATTTACAGCCAAAATTTGATGGCTCTTTATTAATTAACGGTTATAAAGTTCTGGTGATTTTAAAATAAACCACAGTAATGTGAGGCTCAATTCGAACACTGTCAATGTACTACAGAACATTGGTCAAACAATTTAAAAGATTCGCTTCCCATTCATTATTTTTAACTTTCGCACTTCGCACTTCTCCAAAGACGCCTTATGTACAACGTATACGTCATATATTTGTCTTCAAGTTAGACATCACCTCCTCTTGATTTTATCAACATTCTGGAATATTCCCGAACGTCGACAGCATTTGTTTCCACCCCCTCACCCCAGCCCCACGCTAAGAAATCCTCACCCACATGCCAACACACCCTAATGACGCCGCTAATTGGTCACGTGATCCTTATACCCAGGTAAAACAAGCGCACCATTATGTGTTTGTGTAGATCTAGTTCCATTTAAGTTCGGCTTGCTACATATTTAGTCAACCGTATTAACAGACCAAAGTTTAGATCGTAATTACGCATGCTTGATTGGTTTCCTGATAAATGTTGATTAGATTGATTAATACAAAACAAGGTCTTGTTAGTTATCGTAAAGATTACGTAAACTTGACTTAAGTCAAATTATCGTGAAGATTACGTTAACTTGACTTAAGTCAAATTATCGTGAAGATTACATTAACTTGACTTAAGTCAAATTATCGTGAAGATTACGTTAACTTGACTTAAGTCAAATTATCGTGAAGATTACATTAACTAGACTTAAGTCAAATTATCGTGAAGATTACGTTAACTTGACTTAAGTCAAATTATCGTGAAGATTACATTAACTTGACTTAAGGCTAACTTGTATTTTTGTGAACGCATAATTTTTTGTCTTATAATATTCAGTATTATTAATAAGTATATTTTTGAAATTTTCGGGGGGGGGGGCGGTAGACTTTCTTCGGGGGGGGGGGGGGGGGGGCAGACAGTGTTAAAAGTATATATTTTCTATATAAATTATATAAATTTCATTTCGTTCGGGGGGGGTAAAAAAATTTCGGGGGGGCTTGCCCCCCCCCCCCCCCCCCCCGAAGAGATGCCTGGAAGATACTCTGGCTATTAGGCTTGAGTGTATCTAATAATTAAAAACATTCTTAAATTTTACCAAAACGCAGATTTTTAAACAAATAAATTTAAGAACTTACAATACAAATGTCTTTCTGTTGAACTCCATAGATTTCCTTCGAGGAAAACAACAACTTCTGTTTTTATTGAAACCGGAGTGTCGGTATGACCTCTCGTTTGTCATTGGTCAACACACAATGGTCTATTATATAAACAAAGTCGCTAGAGATTCTCAAACGTTTCTTACGACCCTTTGTAAATCTTACAGGAAAAAATAGGGTTAAACCTTTTATTGTTGCACGCAGAGTGATGGCCATACCTTTTTATTTTATGTATTTACTCCATTGTTTTGGTAGCTTTAATCCAAACGTCTGTATCGATGCTTAAGATTTTATTTATTCGGTTTTCGACTTCAAGGAAAAGGAATGGTTTGAGTTTAAATAAAAAATGTAAAAAACTGACGGTTTTAATTCGGTGTTTCGTAAACCCCCAAAGCGAGCCTTTGGTGGCTCGAGATTTAAGGGATCAGAACCCCTTCTGTTGGGATCATTCAAGGTAGCCGAAATTTAAGGGATCAGAACCCCTTCTGTTGGGATCATTCAAGGAAGCCGAGATTTAAGGGATCAGAACCCCTTCTGTTGGGATCGTTCGGGGTTTTTGACAGCCCACTACAGCGGATTCGAGTTAAAAATAGACCGTCAGTCAAGAAGAAAGCTCTTGAGGTGGAGAGTTTGAAGTGATTACTGTCCTCGTTAGTCAAGTGCTTAATCTGTTAGCACTTGGTGATTCATAATAAACAATTTTGGGCAAGTTTATATCAAGTTTATACAAGTTAGAAATGTAATGGCAAGTTTATATCAAGTTTATACAAGTTTATACAAATTTATACAAGTTAGAAATGTAATGGCAAGTTTACATCAAGTTTATACAAGTTAGAAATGCAATGCAAAGTTTAAATCAAGATTATACAAGTTGGATATTTAATGGCAAGTTTTCATAAAGTTTATAAGTCTTAATATTATACGACAAGTTTACATTAAGTTCATACACGTTAGAAATGTAATGGCAAGTTTACATCAAGTGTGTACGTCTTAATATTATACGGCAAGTTTACATCAAGTTTATACAAATCTCGACTTTATTGCAGAAGTATTAATTTCTTTTCATTTTATTCATTAGATAATTTACATAAATAAAATCTGTCCCACACAAAAACATTTTTAGTCAAGTTGTTCACCTACATAAATGAAGTAATTGCTTAAAGCATTGGTCAAGGTGCTTATTTAAATTTTAGTTTATCATATAACATGATGTAGTTGAACTGATAATTTATTGATCTATTGTACAAAAAGAAAGGGGGTGGGGGTTTATCTATTACGCTGAATACACTTTTATTTTCAACACATTGATTATGTAGTTGGTCAATAAGGCAAGCTGTTGACATTTGACTTGTTAAATATCTCTTTGCCCCATTTCATTTACGCAGAGAAAAACCCGTGACACCCCCCCCCCCCCGACCCCCCTCCCCTCTTCTCACTCAGCATAAGCCTCTGTTTACGACATATATTTATAGTCTATAGATCTGTTTGTGTTAGCGGGGTGTGAGGTACTGCTGTTATGATGCTACCCTTTAAAGA